CTGGGGTTTGTCGATCCGTCCAGCTTCATTTCCGGGTCTCCCAGAACATATACCGACACATTAAATTAGTTTATCTTTATTTTTCTTATAGTTCTTTTGACTTGGAGATTCATAATTGATCAATAATTAAACGGAAAACAAAAATAATTTACTAGGTTGTTCATAATCTTCATATTGAATTTTGGCGTTTAAAAGAAGTCTTTAGCAACGAATCTTTTTGAATGACTTACAGTATTTTTTTATTGTGATAATTCTAGCTGCACTCTTTAAAAAGTTTTGATAATGTGAATATATACAAATTAGATTGCTCTCCTTCTTTTTAATAAATATTTAAATAAGTTGTAATTTTAGTATAAGTTAAGTATAATACAGTATATCTATTAGTAGTCTTTTACCGTTCAGTAAAGATTTAAAAAATAAGTATTAATATATAATTATGAATTGTAACAAAAACCCCCAAAAAATTATCAAATAGAAATATTTATGGACCTTAAATCCATCGCATAACTTTGTTACAAATCGTTATTGGAATATCTTAAAAGTTCTGACAAGTTCTAGTTAAAATATTAAATCAAGCAATTTTACAGGATTTTATTAAATCTTTTAAAATTGCTTGATTTAATACTTTATCATATAATTACAGTATATCAAATTAGCATTTCGCTAAATCTATTTACTAACATGAATTCAAAAATTTATATCCTTAAAAATTGATGAATCTATTGTATTTTTGATTCATGTCTTATAATCTTGTAACATTAAAATAACATGAATAAATCTCAAATGAATCTTACATACATCTCATTGAATAAGAGAAAGTATTATAGGATTAGTGATTAATCGTTGAAGATCACATTCTTTAGTCACGCGGCTAATTTCATAGGACTTGGCAACATAAAATAATAAATTCGCTTTAGCGATTTTGTTGTTAATATAAATTATACAGATCAGTGTGTCCAAATTTTAAAATTTAGCATTTTAAGATAGAATGAAACGTATNTGGAAATAATATTCTATATATGATATTTGCACAGTGATTTTGTGCCAAAGTAATCTGTAAAAGAAGAGGTAAGTTTCTTTAAGCCTAATATAAAAATTTTTAGATTATTTTTAAATAAACAATCTTAAAGATAATTTAATAAATCAAAACACTTATGATTGTGTATATTAAATATTACTGGTCAAGTACAAATGTTTGATATTTTGGGTAAATTACAGATCAGTAATTATAATTTCAATTGCAATCTGAAAATTTTGATCATCATACCAATGCAACTATCAATAATTGCTATGATATATGTAGTATTTCAACATTCTTGTGCTTTTACTTAAGATAATTGGTCAAAAACAAATAGTAATAAAAATTTCATTCCTAATTTGAAATATCAACAAAATTGGCGTATGTTAAGTGAAGTAAGTATACAGACAAATATCGTTTGCTTTGCTATAAAAGCATTTATCACAACAGTATAATTAAGATTCTCTAGTAGACGCCTACCATTTGTTTTTAAATGAAGGTAGTTTCCTATAAAATTATCCTCATTATGCTAATGAATGTTATACAAGGTCAGAATCAAAACAAGTTGAAATTTGTTTTCGGTACATTCATCTCGCATGGATCTTAAAGAACGGTAAACGATAAATCAAATATAAATAGAAATTTTAATCATTTATTTATAATTCTAATGAATAAAAATTTCCATCTTCAGACTGGAATTAATGAGCTTCAATAATGTAAGTGTGTCATATACTATACATTTAATGAAATTTCATTTATGATATAAGAAAATAATAAAATTTTATATATTCTACTTTCTATTATAATGTGGCATTTACCTGTAATATTAATTACACATAAGAATAAAAATAAATAGGTTGGAAGCAATAAATAACTCCAACTTGGGGAATCCGCCATCACCTCCTAATTTAGTTCGTCTTGTTGCCACCAGAGGCACTGTTGTAGCGAATGAAGTAATGCAGTGCAGTCACCCCGTCTAAAAATTTTAGATGCATGAACGATCTTCATATTTTCTATTGTGTTTTCTGTAAAATTCTATTCTTCCGGAAGAAATGATTAAATGTATTAAATTCGGTTTAATTCAATTTATATTACTTACGAAATTGGTTTAATAATAATAAGAAATTNATAAATCAAATATAAATAGAAAAATGATAAAATATATGATAAAGATGATTTTATTTTTATCATATATTTGAAATAATTTAATTTTATGTTAAAAAACTAAAATAATTTAAAAGAATTCTTAATTGAATTGAGGCATATATTGTTATAACATTTTGTTAACAGTTCAATAAAATTTTATTAGTTTGTTAAATGTCGATATATGATCAATGTGTGATATTTTCCAGATCTATTTTCGTCTAGGATACATTCGAATCCAATCCAAATGTTTAAGATTTTTTTTTTTTTTATAAAAGTAGATAGATAGTATTGAAATATTTACAACTCTCAAACTATGTTAACAGATTTTGTTGTTATTTAAACAAAATAATAACAAAAAAAGTGAAAATATCTGATCTTAAACATCATAATTCAACACTATCAGCATAATATTACATTATCATATGCCAATGACGTAGCTAGGCAATAATCCCACAGAAGTAGGTCTATAGCAAACATTTAAAGCGTTGAGATAGGAAGTTCTACAGATGGGTCTGCAAATAAGTGAGAAGAAGAAGGGAATAGTTAACCATAGCAATAATGTATAAGATAGGAACATCGGACATACTCACTTTATTTAAGGAATGTGGTTCAAATAGTTCGGAATCAGTCTTAATATGGATAATGAAATAAGCGTTGAAATAGAGTAGGCCTGAACAAAATTCTATTAAATTCAATTTCTCGCGATACATAATAAGATCTAATAGTCATACACGACAATGGTTCTTCTGTAGTGTTGTACGGATCTGGAACTAACTTACAGAAAAGGATAAACACAAATTACAGAGCTTTGAAAACAAAGTACTCCGCAAAATTTTTGATCTGGGTAAAGAATATCGTAACCAATGAATGGCGAAAGAGAGAAAACTGTGAAATGTGTTATACAATAAGACTGGACTGAGCATGTTCGGAGAACGCTGAAAATACAGCTGACAAGAATAATGTCAGAAAAAAGACCAGAGGAAGATCTCGGAGAAGATGATTATATAATGTTACGATGAATCTTGAGAGGCAAGAAGAGGAGGAAAACAATTTGTCATTCCAGACACTGAGGTCCAACCAGTGGCGTAGCGTAGTGGAGACGGCAAGGGCGGCCCGCCCCGGGCGGCAAAATTTCACAATAAATAAAACTTGTAAAAATTTGAACCATTTCATTTCATATTTTTGTCGCACCTATGATTCGCACCGATTGAAATGAGCACGGAATTTTTCATTACTTATTCAGTGACGAAACTGAATTTTAGTCTTTTAAATTGAGATAACTAAATAAGGGGGCGGCGAAATTTTTCTCCGCCCTGGGCGGCTGACACCCACATTACGCCACTGGGTCCAACATGGTGACGAATTGTACTGTACTGTGCAGTATATGTCGCAAAATGTAGCAAAGACTTTACAAAGCTCGTAAAGACTGAAAAGAAGATCTGAAACATGAATACATAAAGACTGATTTGGTGCATAATTCGATTAACTCATTTTGATATTATTTTATTACTAAATTTAACTCGTTTGCTAATAAGTTTAGAAATAATAGATTTGTAGATTTATTCTTTTATATTTAATGCATAAANAGCACATTAAAAATTTTTTTTTTTAATATTGTTCTAAAATTATTTAAAATTTTTTATTCAAATGACTTACTAGTGTGATGGCTCATCTTAATTTTAATATCAGAAGTGTTTTATAATTGATAACAATTGCTCAATGGTTTATGAAAGTAGTTATAGCTTCATATTCACCAGAAAACCTCACAAAAAATAAAGTTTAAATTAATAATATAAAGCAGGGGTTCTCAACTGAGGTCCATGTAACATTACTGGAGGTCCACAGGAAAAAATACTGAACAGGGGTTCACAGTGATATTTTAGTGGTCTATAGGGAAATTCTACTTCAGAACAATTGTTTTACTGAAAATTAAATTTCTACAGTATATACAGTATATTGTCAATTTATTTATTACTCATTTCTTGCATAAGGGTTAAAATATAAATTTAAAATATTGAATATGTAAACAACATATATCTCATTGACAAAGGTCAAAGCGAGATTATAAAACCGTAGTCTGTTAGGAGAATCTTATACCATCCACTGATGGTATAAGATTCTCCTAACAGATCACAGTCACTTGACAGTGACATTTCTAAACATTTTGCATCGGTTTGTTCCAGATCTTAAAGATTAGGGTGAGAGGCTATAAACTTTATAGCCTCCCTCCAGTATAAAGGTAATTAGTTTATTTTAACCCTAACCTTCAGTTCTGTGCAAAACTCCATCTTAACAAGGTAAGAGGTAATAAAAATGCTAGTTCATAAATACAGTAGTTACTTTTTCTGAAATTCAGAGCTTCAGTATTAAAATATTTTTCCAATTTGAAACAATGTAGTGAAAAAATATAAGGTTTTTTTTCTGTGCAATGTATGTGGGTCCACAAAAAAAATTAAGAGGAAAAGGGATCCATGGGTAAAAAAAAAAGGTTGAGAACCCCTGATATAAAACATTTTCAATAATTTTAAAATTAAACTATATTTTTTTTGCAGGATTTTGAGGTGTGTAGGAAGCTATAACATCTTATCCAATTATTAAGGAATATTACTTATGAAAGTTACTACTTTTTATTCCACATATATTCTTTTATTTACTTAATTTATAAAAAATAATGACAAGTAATTTTTACTATGTACTGTACATGTAAATTATAAATCATAAAATTATGTAAAATTATATATATATACATCCGTTATGTATATATACATATATACATAACGGATGCAAATAAGAATTTCAGAATTAGATATAACTAGAACTAGGAAGATCTACTTACGTATTATCAATTTCATAAAACCAACGAGATGCTGGACAACACATTTGGGTACCATGACTACAGCATTCTGTAAAATGAGCTGGATCAGATTCACCAGGACAATAATAAATGGGAGGTGGAGGTAAATTATTAAGTTCTGACTGGTCTTCAATTCTAACACTAGCATCATTTTGCAAATATGGAGGGTATCCACGGCAAGTTGTTGTTTTAGCTTCTAGAAACAGAAATTTACAAGAAAATAATTCTTAACATAAAAAGAAAATTTTGAATTAATTGATTATTATTAAAGATTTCATATATTTTATGAAAAGAATACTTTTGACAAAATAAAATCATTAATAAAATCAAATTCAAAGTTTAATCATAAATTGCTTATCCAGCAGTTCCCAAACTTTTTTGTTTCTCAGCACCCTGCTAAATCCATATTTTCCCAAAGCATCCTATGTCAAATTCTAACAAGTACACTTTGCAAAATAGCCAATAATTTTTTTAATTAAGGACATTGGTAAAAATAAATAAAATACATATTTAAGATTAAACAAAAATATGTAATTAAATAAATTCAACTAATTATAATTAGTGGGATGGATGAGCCCATTGATCACTGCACATTTTCTCAAATCTTGGAATCAAACCGGATACAGTCATCCTCATTTCCTTCTTCACATTGTTTTTCATGCAATACTTAGTTTTTATCACAGTGACAGCCAAAAACTGTCTTTGCACAAATAAGAAGTCACAAATGGAATTAAAATTCTCTGAGCTTTACCACTCAGAAGAGGATATTCATCTTTTACAGATATCCAAAATTCAGTTAATTCAATGTGCTAAATTTTGTTTTTGCAATGAGTTTCATGTAAACTTGAACATTATAATCAGTCTAAACTTTGTTTTGCTACAATATTTTAGATAATTATTGTGTTTACTGCCGTGTGCCTACTCTTTAAATGGGCTAATGAGGGGTCTAAGTACCTGAAATGCATTCCCATAGTAATAAAAATTATATTTGAATAATTAAGTCTGGTTCCATCTCATCCTGATATGATAAGTCCTTTTCATTTAGCCATATTTTGATAAGCTATTTGTTTTAATGTGTATTTGAGCTAAAAGCTTAATTTAGTCAATTTAATGCTACAGTTGGGAAATGCAAGACTGATGTACTGGAAAATATATAATTGTTTTATTTTTGAGTTTTCAATTAGTCTCCATTGTTTACATGCTTAGCTAGACAGTACAATAGCAGATCGTTAAACAGGCATAAGGAACCTCATAAGTAACTGATGATCTCCACAACTATTTTATGTTAACCAATTTACAAGTTTATCCATCTGTTGTCATGGTATGGTGTTGTTGTAATATGTCTTGTACTGTAAATGATTGATACTGCTAATAGAGAACAAAAATGCAGTGCTTTATGCATGGCTGCAATATAAATGGCCAATTATTGGACAAATAATTTTTGTCCAGTAATTGGCCATTTATATTGCAGCCATTAGGGTTTCTCATTTCCCAGGAAATTTTCCTCCAGCGGGATTACAGGAAAAATAATTTCTTTTCCTGGGATACCAGGAAATTCCGGGATGAGATAGTAAAATAGAATTTTATATGAATAAAAAAGATCATACAGGAATATCATAAATTCAAATAATTTAATTTATTTTCTAGTAAGTAACTAAAAGTGTAGGGCCAATCTCACCCATACGGACACGTTAGGCTCAATTAATTTATGTTCTCCTACATTATAAGATGAAAGTAAAATAAAGCATTTCATTGGGAGTTTTAATGATTACGAAAAAAAATACTATTTTATTTCTAAAGATGAAATAAAAAATAAACTAAAGGTTGATGAGCGATATTTACTTTCAGCAAATCTCCGCTGTTCAATGATGCACAAACACGATACATAGATATTACATGAACTAACAAGTAGAGACTTGTAAAACATAGGTAATAATATGCAGCAAGAAACCACAAAATTTCTCTCTTAGGTGAGTCTTCAAGATGCAACTTTTCGTATAATAAATAATAGAAAGAAAACCTGACATGGTAAATTATTATTGAAATGCAAAATTTCCCGGGATTTTTCTCATAGGGAATAAATGGCGAGAATCCCGGGAAAGAAACCCTAGCAGCCATGCATGAAGCACCGCATTTTTGTTCTCTATTAGCAGTATCGATCATGTACAGTACAAGACATATTACAACAACACCATACCATGAAAACAGATGATTGAGTCTAATTAGATTAAAGTTTCTCAAAGGATGTGAAGTTATTAGTTCCAGAGAATAAATCAACTCATGTAGTCATTAAAAACACTGTCTTTTGGCATTATAATATCAACCCAATCTACAATGATCAGTATGTACTCATTATGTAACCAATTATAGAAGAAAGAGGGACAAAAATCACAAGCAATGTCAGACTGTGTACCTCAGCATTAAACAACACACCACTCAGCAAAGTAACTGCACATATGTGTCACACAAGCATGATTGGTGCCACATGCAATAAAACACACATATTGGTGTGCTTGTTGCAATACATAAACCAGTGGAACTAAAGAGTGAAGTCCAACATTGAAGTTGTATGGTTTTGAGCTTCTTGGACCATAAGATTATAAACCATAGCCAATAAGACTGAGGAAGGTAAGGAGTAGCTGCACTGCATTAACTGAAGCAGATGAAAGATGCATTACCAAAATTTTATTTATTTTTGTGCAGACTGATTAACATCGATCAGTCTGTATAAAAATAAATAAAATTAAAATTAAGGCAAAAATAAATAAAATTTCAGTAATGCTCACAATGCTCACACTTAAAACATTAAAAACAGAAATCACCAGTTGAGAGAGTGAAACAATCTATCAATGCATTTCCACACAGATAGAAGCTTGCAAGATTACACCTATACTTGTATCTTTAGGACAGTTCCTAACTGAAGTGCAACACCATCAGCACAATTCCAGTGTTTTCTCAAGAATATTGTAGCCATCTATCCAAGCCTGATTGTGAGGGCTTCCAATTCCTTAATAATGGAAGAGGTGAAGCTTTAAGCCTCACTTCCTCTACTAAACATCTAGAAGCAGTTAGATATTGCAAGTAACCTGTATAAGAGAATGTGATAGAAGATAATATTGGAAAACACTATTTTTAAGGCAAAAATAGCCAAATGCAATATCAGTGAAACATGTCTTCAATAGTTGATAACTCTAATAATTGGGCTTTTTTTTATTCTTTTCTGATGAATATTGTTGGTAATGACTGATTAGGCTGTTTGTTAAGCATGTGATAGACTTAATGGAGTTGTCACATCATGACACTAGTTATGCTTCTTAGATACACAATGCAATAATATTTATTGTCTCATGAGTTTTTAGTCACTGTTTTGAGAAATAGTTTTGGATTTTTCCAGAACTATTTCTATTTTGAAAATGAAAAGATAACAAACATCTTCAATTGCCTTGAGAAACCAATGTCAGACTAAAAGAATGATTTGGAAAATGAACAAGAAATGGAATGCTTCTAAAAATAATGATAACTATAATCTAAAGTATGATTATACTAAGCAAAGTGTATTTTAACATATATTTTGGGACATGGTAATTCTGATAACATTAGGTAACCAGTAATAATATCCATGATTATATAATAAGTGAATTCTACTGTATTTAATATTATGATAAGAACTATCAAATCCTAATATTTTACAAATATTAGCAGTCTATTTTTGAGACTGCTGATCTGTTCTAGAAAATTATATACCATTGCAGAGTATATGCTGATGTAGGTTTAATACAAAAATAAAATATATGTTCAATAAGAAAATTTTTATTATAATTAATTATTCTTAATTGCAGCTTTACTTACATCAAATTAATTTTTTTATACTCATTACATAGAAATAAAACAAAATTTTGAATTTTAATACTGATTTAGACAAAGCACAATTCAAAATACAAGAAAAGCATTTAATCTTATGTAAACTAAACAGCTAAACTGAAAAATAGAAACAGTACAAAAAGATTGTTTTATATCTTAAAATGTGTAAAAAAATTTTCAATGAAAACCATTATAATTTGATGTAATCAGAAATAACAATCTGAAGCAAATTTTTNTTCAATATTTGTGGCGGACGGATGTAAAGTCGAATAAAATGACTTAAACTTGATTTTTATTTTTCCGTATACTTTTTTGACAAACGACGTAACTCGAAACGACGTAAGTCGAGGTATACCTGTATTTCTATTTTTGATTTTTTCACTCTGTGAGCACCGAGGAGCTTTTTTCTATCCTCATCATGGGTTCGACCAGACCCACAATGAAAACGATAGTAAAGGATGGGGTCCGACACATCCGGGACAAACCGTTCAAGGAAAATTTCTAGTTGCTGACCCGAATTCGATTGCAGGTTCCCCAGAGCGTTAGACTGACGCCTTACCCGCATCGACATCCTACCGTCCGTATCCAATTTATTCTTAATATATTAGGTCTATACTCAAAAACGCAATTATTTTCTAATTATGGATGTAAAGAATTGAAATCGTTTATTCAATTTGCACAAGTTTCTATTATAAACTTATCCAGTTTAATAATATAACTTATTATAATATTCTATATCTATTTAAATAGCCTATACAGTTTATATTAATGAAATAGAAAAAAGTATGTGCTAATACACAATGAATATACAACGTGCAGTCCCTATAAGTATCAATGATTTACCCGTGATGTCAAATAAAAAATATAACATATTTTCTCGTTTAATGTTAGATGACGTTAATATTTAGAAACATCTATGGAAAAAATAACATTTCAGTATCACTTACATTAAATTCTGGTAAAAAGAGAAAATGATTATTTTTACAACTTTAAAAATCGATAAAACATACGTCAAAATAAGATTGATGATTTTCCTACTGTCGACTGTGGTTTCCAGAAACATACTGTATTTTGCGAGAAAATCTTTAAAAAAATCGTTTTCGTTTGTAAAAATATCTGATAAATTAATCATAAAATTAATGTTTTCACTTAATAATTTAAATTTTGGGTAGACATTATTAGAAAATTAATATTTATTGTAGTTAACTAACTGGAAAAATAGTTTTTATTTATTTCTAAGTTGCTTTATAATTAAATTTTACAACTTTCTATATGATAAAAATATCCTACAATTTCNTTTTTTTAAAATGAATATTAGTTTAAATTAAAAAGTATATTCATTTATATTTAAAATTGCATTATACACGATTACGCTAATAGATTAAAAAATTAAAAATGGTAACTTATATGAAATATGTGACAGCACCCTGAAAGAAAATGTGTCATTTTGTAATAATAAAATGCACCCAGGACTAATACCTTGTTTTTGTTTGAAGGTTTTGTGACACAATCAAGCTGGGACAGTTTGAGGTCATAGATATTTACCTGCCATTTTATTTAACCTAACTTATTTAACACTGAAGGATGAAAAATTTATAAATTAAGATTGCTCAATTCAACAACTTAATGCAAATTAAATATTATAAATTATTATTTTGTATTTAGATGTGGTTTGTTAGTTCAGCATTTAATGTTATTCCTATTATTGTTAAAAATTCCTCGACTGATTATCTTATTTACTTCGCAATTATATAGTATTTACTAAGCGCATCATTAGAATGTTTAATATATATTAATTAATTGATTAACTAAGTTATATGTAAGCAAGGACATGCATATAGAAATGTAATATAAATTATATTATATATAAACTATTTCTTATATCCTATAAAATAAAGGTGCAAAGTATATACATATTCAAATATCAATAATTGATTAGTCAATCACTATTATTTACTTGTCTAGACGGGCAGATTACTTTAATATTATCAGGATTACAGACTGATATAAGTTATTATGAAAAAAGTTATTTTCTCAATTACGTAGAATTTAACGAAATATGTATCTAAAAAGTTTAGATAAGTTAGTGCGTTGTATTACATATGTTTAACGTCTGTCATTATGGAAGACGTGAAGTTCAAGATTAAAAAGACGTTCAAGGTGACTCAAATCTATTCAGATCGCAAGTTCACCATCGATTATCATTTTATACATTTGGTATCAGAGTACATTTTTGTGACTTTTCCCTCTTTATAGGTTTTGATTTTTTAAAGTAAAAAACTGATTTTATAAAAATTGAATGTAATATTAATTTCCTTATGGTTAATTAATTTATAACAAATAAATCAAGTTTAATTAAGAAAATTGCCGAGATGCCTTCGGTGATGACGTTTTACACTAAGATAATTCAGTTTACGATCATTTAAAAGATAAAAAGTCGCAAAGTCTGGAAGAATACCCAAATTATTATTATTATTATTATTATTATTTATGTTTTTTTTATGACAGAAGAAAATACAAAGTGCAGAACTTTCTAAACAAATCGACACGTTCATTAGTACATTATTAACATTACTTGGAAGGAAATTAATTCCAGGATTTCCNCCGTAACATTTGTTTGATATACATTATATATATATTGATATTATATTATACTAATTTTAATTTGTAAAGTAATGTGCATCTTGATAATATAGTCTGAAATAGCAGAATTTTCGAAATATCTACGTGTTTGCTTCCATATGTATATACAGTAATATACAATTTCACATAAAAATCATTTTAAGATAATAGGCCTACATAATAATTAAAGATTGTATTACACACTGTATTGAAATAAAAAGAATTTTAAAAATTGTTTTAAAATCAATTAAACAAAGAAGAATATTACATTTTTAAATCTATTTTAAAATAAAAATATTTAAATATATAACAAAACCTAACTTTTATAACAATAGCAGTAGTTTAAAAAGTACTCATTGCAACATTCATATCGATCTATTATATATTAATAAGAATAAATATATGAAAAAGAATTAAAGAAATAATAATTTTTCCTAGTAATAAAACTTCAGTTTAAATATTATTATAATTATATAGAGTTTAAATTAAATTTAAAAAGTCAGAAAATATTTAAAACTTTTAAATTTAAATAATTATTCCTTGAATTTTATTTAGTTTTTCTGTTTTACTTTTTTTAGGGTTTTAAAGAATTTAAAAATAAACAAAAATTGTAGGCCATTAGCATATCTTTTCAGAATGTTAATTATTTACTATCAGTTATAGGCATTTTCTAACATTTTTTTCAAGAAATACTGGTAAGTTTACGTATAGAATTCATAATATTCAATTACTGATAAAAATTAACCTACAGGTATAAGTAGCATTGCACGCTTTATTAAACTTTGTGAATTTCAATCTAATTGTTGATAATTTACAACACTAATTTTGTTGTTAGAGACTCCTCTTTCTTTTCAACAACCTTATAAATAATTTTAAAGATTTATTGATATAAATAAAAGCAAGAGCACGACAATGTGATAGAGATAACAGCGTTTTTGACATTGCATTAATTTATTATTTTTTGTTTGATGAATGAGATAGACTATAGATTATGAAGAAATGGAAAAGTATTTATGATTTTTAAAATTTTTAAAAAATATTAACCTCTTAGTTGAATTCTTTTACTGAAATTAATTACTTTATAATAATTAATAAGAAACGAGTTTTTAAATATATAAAGTTTATCTAGAAAATAAAATTTTGATTTATGACGATTAAATTAATTGTAGATTGATTTATAAAAAAAAATAATAATAATAATAAAAATTAATTGAAATAGGCCAATATATGGCATGATCATAAACTGTTTAGCTAGAAATTTACTGTATTCGTATATATTATTTAGTGAATAAATTACATATAAGCATTTAATAAATAATGATCATCGGATATTCATTAGGATAGAATAATTAAAAATATAAATTGTAAACATCTAAGAAAATAATTCTAAGGATTTTTACAAACCAAAACTCAAAAGGTCAAAGTTTTTTGAGGAAATAGCTACTTAGTTATGAAAATACATTAAGTGGTAACAAACTTTTTTTTATTGGCTATTGTTAAAACGAAGTTTTTATTCGTTCTATAGGTTTCTACAGTTTAGAAAATCTTTAGAATTAAAAGTGATGAAGCCAGTTTTATAAATTTTACTATTATGAAAAAAATAAGACACTAATTATTTTTGTAATATGACTTATAACAGGATATATCTACTTTAATTTATTCATGCAACTTTTTTAGACTGTATTTATTAGTCTAAAGAAAATAAAAAGAAAATTTCAAGTAACATATTCATTAATCAAATGCATTTTTATTTAATCACTTAAATCAAAAAATTAATCTTGCATTTAAATAAGTTGCGAAATGACTCTCAATTGATGTTGTTTTCAGAAATGTTTTTATCATGTAAGGTATGCAATCTTACAGTTCAGACTTACGTATCTAGAAAAAAATGTCACATATTAGATTAGCCTGACCCTCTTACATGTTAGATTCCTCAATAACGAACAAAATTGGACGGCTAAAAGATAGGAAACAATCGAAAATACACGTGAAGAATTGTAAGGATCTGCAGTAGATACGACCTCAATTATTTTTGGCTAATGGACGGATCCTTTATTGAATAGCGATCCAGACGGCGAATTTAAGTGTATTTTTTCTTATCGTTTTTCGATTTTTGACGATAATATACACTTCAAAATTGTAATAAAAGTACCTTAAATGTAGTATTAGAAAAAACTAAATGTATGAAAAGTATTTCTACCATAAAAATGTTTTTAAAAAAAATATTGTTCAAGATTTGCTGAAACATTTCTTAAATATATAATATTCTGGTTGAATTTGTAAAAAGTTCTAAGATCAAAATATTTGAAAATATATCTACAGGAAAATAATGATATTTTTTTTAATATTATAAATGAAAATTTTGTTTATTAGGTAGGCCTATATTATATATATTACTTTATTATATGTACTATATCTATTTACGTTAAATAAGATCGTTTTAAAAATATATTTGTGTTATTTATGCATAGAATCTATGTAATACATTTAAATTCTTAATGTGCTATTTGTATGAATACATATGATCTCTTCCTCTTCAACAGATTATATTTTATAAGTTTATTAACGTATGAAGTAACAAAATGAACAACAAGACTATTAATAAGATAAAGCATGAAGTTCATGAATAAAAATAATTTAATTGTGTATTCCAAAACCTCTAAAAAAATTATTTTTCACTATCAAATATCTGAAAATATCTTATAATTGTTTTAATTTTGATTCGTATTAAACGTATTATTAATTTTTCCAAATCTCAGTGTAAGTTCTTCCCAGAATTTTAAAGAACTTGTAAGTGGAAATATGATATATAAATTACTATCACTTTACATATTTCTAAAAATATGTAAATAAATTACTATATTAAAAAATGAATTTTAAAATTAAAATTTCGGTCTTAAATCAAAGAATTTCTTTAATTAAATTTTTAAAAAATGATTAACTTTATTTGTTTTTATGTCAAAATTCTTTCAAAGATAACTGTCACTATCTTTCTTGCAAGTTTGGTCGTTACTAAATAATAGATATCTGCAGCAAATCTAGGTCACAGTTCTAGACCTTTACCAATGGTGGAATATTCACTAAATCAATTAAAAAAAAAATACATTTGTGGATATTAATTACAACAAAATAAACTTTCTTCCTATAAAAATTCGTAAATCTTATATGACCTAAAACCACTTATATAATAAAACAAGAATACACGAAGAAATATGATCTAGTATGTAAAATATTATTAAATGAAAATGTAGCTTTTGAAACAATATGATTTATAAAATCAATAAAAATATATTAATTAAAACAAATCACTTTAAAAGTTTATTGAAATCTAAAGAAAAGTATATTCAAATATCAAAATCGGATTCAATGATATCAGTTAGATCGATAATATTAAATTTCCAGAGTTCAAATAACCACCTACTTTTGAACTTATTTAAAGATAAAGAAACTTTTGAAAATAATTTGAAATTCAAATTGTAAAGCTGTAAAGCAATGTAATTTCAGCGTAAAATAAATCTTATTTCAAATTCACGAATGAAAATTGAAAAACATGAACACTATTTTCACCATATTTGGAAAAAATTGATGAAAATAACGTCTAATGGCTGACATGTCATAATATACTATTTCCAAGAACCATAATAAGAAGATATTCTAAAAGACATAATTATTTACAGTTATTTTTTATTTTGACATAGTAACACGAATACAGTGACAATTATTATTATTCAAATCAGAGTTAAATTGAGGGAAAATATAAATCTCATAGCAAAGCTTGCTTGGCTCTAAGATTAAAAATAATGATAATTCATCGTTAGTTTCCGTTCGTAAATTCAAACAATCCGAAATAAATGAATCATATTTTAATTATATAATATTCAATAAATGAAAAATTAACTATTAGTTTGATTTCCGAAAAATTAAATTAAG